TAATGCCTTACAAGACGTTCTCACAGGCAAAAGAGCTTGTCTTGCCAAAATTCAGCTATTTTCGGTCACATCAGAGACAATTTCTCTGATGAAAAAAACGCAGAAAAGACCCGCTTGTGTTAGGCTCAGAAAAAATTCGAACAGAGAAAGACGCCGAAGTGAAAAAGTGTGAAACGTGTTTGAAGCGGGGGCGCACTAAAGTTGTTTGAAAATTAGTATGGTAATCTCTTCTCTTATTCAAATCGATCGCAGTGGTTCTCTACGCTCCATTGTGGATGGTAAACAATATTTGCACGTTCGAAATTTTTGGCAGTCGCGCAATATTTGAGACCTGTTTTTGGAAATACTTGAAATGTCAGAATGCTCTCTCTCGCGGGGAAAACCTTCAAGCGATCAAAAAAGCACGCGATACTTCTGAAAAAAGAAAAAAAAAAAAGCCATCGATCACCTTTTGCATGTAAATTGAACACATTTTCAACGTAATTGGCGTCGAGAAAAAAAAAAAAAAAAAAAGCCATCGATCACCTTTTGCATGTAAATTGAACACATTTTCAACGTAATTGGCGTCGAGGTACCTGTAGTTTGTTGTCACTAGATCACAAAAGTCGGTAAGGAACATAGAAATATTTTCTTCTCGATTAGCACCTTATCAGTGAAACCGCCTATTAAAAGTTCCTAAAAAAAGTTTGGACCTTCGTTAAGACCAAGCATTAGTCAATATTTTGGTAAGCCCTATTTTGCAATTCTCCCTGCCTTTTAGAAGTTGGAATGGAGTCTGTTTCTGTTCAGTTTGTTTTCGTTTGCATCCTATGTGGACAAAAGGATAAAAAACATCCGTAAAATTTCTTGTACTGGGTACATTCAAAGCCGTTTGCGATATCAAAATTTTTAAGAAGTGTGAAAATTTTCCTGGTAAGATGCAAATCGGTCAGATACGCAACGGAAACGACAGTTTTTTTTTTCTTTTTTCGAATGCAAGTACACTTCTGTCTGATATAATAACAGATACGCAAAAAAAGTTCGTTAGCAAATTAACAAAAGTAGCATTACTGACCGTAAAAACTGAACTTCTGCTATGCCAAAAAGAAAAAAAATTTAATGATAACACTTCGAACTGAAAAAATACAAACGAGGACTTTTTAATATATCGTAATGAAATATTTCTTTCGACGTTGTATTTTTCTTCTACATTGGCAGGAAAATTCCAGTTTCTGGAACCAAAGATAATAGGGATTTTTTGTTCGGTTTTATAACATGGATGGGCGCATGAAAAAAGTTAAAACTAAAATTCATAGCATTTTTTTGACTGACAAAATTTCCATCACCCAACGAAAAACTTACGAATCACTGAACAATTGGGAAATATTCATCGTTAATGATTGCAGCAGTGAAAGTTGACTTGCATATCTGATCTAACATTTTAGAATTCTTTTTTTTTTTCTCTTTCTTCGAAAGAAATGACATCTCCTGAAAGGAAAGGAACTCGACATTTGCGAAATCACGAGGGTATAATTCAATACTGATCCCGACTGAATATAAATTACAGAGGGAAATTGAAACAGGGAATCATTACTAACCGATTGAGACACATCAATATGTGGAATCATCTCTTCATCGAAGAAAAAGAAATACCTTTCCTCCAAGGAGTCACTGATTTTTTCAAAATTAACACTTTAAATAGTTTCTCACATCTCAGCAACAACTATACACTAAATATTTACCGAAATAAATTTAAGTACATAAATGAATCAATGGACCCTTAAAGCGGAAGTTGATACGCTAGGGTGTCAAGAAAGCGAAGTGTAAACGAACTCCAATCCATGTGCATTTCACTTTCGTTCGGTTCAGCTTGAATGAAACAAACGCTACATAAAAAAAAAAAGGTTTCATCATTAAATGTTTCGTTATTTTTGCTTTCCGCTATTACAGTGGCTTCCAAGCTATCACGAACAACTTTCTTAAAAACTGAAGGAAACTGATTCATCTATTTTTGTCTTAAAAGAAGTAAAAGAGGATAATTTTGTGGAGCAATTAATATTGACAGTGCCGACTGAACGATTAATCACACATCATGCATTTGGAAATAAAACGCTTCATAAATCCTTATGTAAAGCGACTGAAGTTCGGCACGTGAAAGTGAAAGAAACTCGCATGTTAAGAGAAATCTCAAAAACGACGCTACTTTAGGTGACGTAACTAGCCCCTTTCAGCTAAATATTGTCTCATCCGCGGATTCAAGCGGAAAACAGATTGTTATCATGTTTGGAAATGTCTAGAGTTCAAAGCGCTCTCGAGGATTTGCTAACTGTAGGTTTTCGAACCGTCTACCGAAGAGAAATTTCATATGCACAAACAAAGAGTTAAATTAAAGTAAACGTGACGAAGAAAAATTAAAGACCTGGTTGAAAGCTCAAATTTGCATTCCAATAGGACTACAGTCTAGTTATATTTGAACACGTAACAAAGGAGCTTCAAGTCAAGCATGCGTGCGGGTCTGATATGCATTACAATATCAGAGGGAAAAAAGATCAACAACGGCAGTACGAACCATCTTTGCATCGCAGTTACGAACGACTCGCGACAATTTTTTTTGCGTATTCTCGACCTCTCCCGGTCGGTGCCCGAAGAGACACAAAGCCTTCGTGGCTGGTTTTCATTTTTTCCTTTCAGATTTACTCAGAAAGTTTTTTCTCAACAAAAGTTCATCTGCCGTAAATGAATTCTACCGGATGTCAACTCTACAACGTCTGGTATTTGTTATGGTTATGTGAGTAAATTGAAAATGCCCAGGTTTTCAATTACAGACACCGAAGTCGTGTCATGTTTGACTACGCGCCGTATTGCTACATATCTGCTCCCTGTTAGAACTTTACTTTTAAATTACTTTCATAGATTTCAAAATTCTAACAGAAGTGCTTGGCACGTTTTGATCGAGAAATTTCAACAGACCTATTAACGAACAATTATGGCAAAGAAAATAAAAAGCGCTCATTTTCGATTTCTATTCCCCTCGTTTGAGTTCGTTTAAGTGGGAACATAGTTTCTGATTTCATTATAGAAGAAGAGGTTGATCTTTAAGACGTTAGAAAAAAAAAATTAGGAAACGTCCTGCGCTCGTGAAAGTAGGTTTACTTTTGATACACAAGCAATAACATCACTGCGAATTATATGCTCATCCGTTCACCCCTCGCGGTACATGTATTCCCTGCTGTTTATTTTCTCGGTTTTTTGCACCGAACAATTAATATTTCCACAACGCACTATTTTCCCTTTTATGCTTTTAAACTAGAATCGAAACATTTCTAAGGTTAACAAAGTGAAAGATAACAAGCGTTGGAATAATCCCATATTGTTCACCGAGTTGAAACTAATTATCCACAACAGAATAGGGAATCCACTGGAAAATTGAGTTCTTGACTAATTTTGTGCCAATAGAGGCATTTAACAAAATAAAATGTCTATTTAACTGATTCGAATTGATAAAGAAACAGAGAGGCTTCTTTAACGTAAACGAAAACTCGCTGTTTTCCGCGAGTGCTCGCGGAAAAGTCACGGACGAACACTCTGTAGAATAGTAGAATGTGAAAAACCGTTGACCAAAAATCAAACACCGGTATATTGGTGACAAAATCTTCATTAAAGCAGTATGACACAGAATATAGTAAGTAAACTGGTGGGTTTTTCTGGGACAAACAACGCTGCACATTACAACTTAAGTAAAAGAGCCGAATATCGAACACATAATCACGCGCAAATATATAGTAAGATCGCGTGTTGGCGTCTCGTCATGTTCGCGGAAGGCAAAATCGTTGAAAAGCGATCAGTTGCACTTCGTACGAAAACTTCAACTCTGAGTAATTTTTCCGTTGTTTGCAAACACTGGCCTACTCTGCTGCATGGTGATTCAAGCCATCCGTTGCTTTCCACGATCGTTTCAACTCATTCTCGTAGACGCCTAGAGGAAGTGAATCTAAAAAGACTAGCCGCCGCATTAGAGGCAACGACTAACGTTCGACTTCATAATTTCCAGCGATCGCGCTCTATTTAAGCGATGTCTTTACGGTTTTTTGGTTTGTTTTTCTTCTCACCTACGCTTGAAAAAGGTGGAAAACGATAAAAACCCCGATGATGTAATGACGAACAGAAAGATGGAGTCTGCCGTGATAAATATCACTAAAATACTTGACGCGGCCGAGCGCCAGATAAACAGCGCCGATTTTGATGGGATTATTAAATACACGAATATAACTTATACGCCTAGGAGAAGTTTTCTACATTTTAAGCACATTTTTACGAGAGAACGTGTCTTTAAAAGTATGACTTCGCATTATTCTCTGTTCTACTCACCAAAATGAAACAAATCTGCCCCCTAAGACACCACACGACTGTGTTAAATACAACAAAAAATAAAAATTTTCCTTTCAGCTGAGACAAAACTGCAACTATAATGCGTAAACTGCGGTGCTAAAACAGTCGATCTTACCTATCTAACTTAATACTGCATCGAGTCACGTATAGCTCACGAGGACAAGACTTCTCTACCCCTATTAGCTGCGAAGTACGTAACATGATCGAATACAGATAGTTTAAGTCCAGATTCCACGATCATTTCGTTTTCCGACAAGCAAGGGCACACAGATCGCCGCGAAAATGCAAGTTGCTAATAAAAACTGTACACCCACTAGCTTTGTGATTCCAAAAACTCAAACTTCGTGGTGTTATTTGTGCCTCCTTGGCACTATTCAGCAATATCAGTCGAACCGTCAAACCGTGGTACAATGTTCAGTGTCGATTACGTTGATGCAGTCGCGAAGAAATATCTTAATTATATCCCCTTCGAACGAGCACGAAATATCCTGAAAAAACGCTATTACAAAGGGTGAATTTGAGCCCCACGTGTTAGTTGACGAAAAAATCGTCAAAGCCATCAATTGTCCACAGTTTTGCACGAACAGGCACAATAAATAATTGAACAAGCGAAGAAAACTGTGCGAACTTACCTGCACTCGGCACGGTTGGTGAATAATATTGCGCTTGTAAGGGAGAAATAAACTCCGAATTTCTCGCGATGCCCACTTCTGATGAAGGAAAGCCTGCAGAATTGGAACCATTTTCCAGCGTAGATTGTGAAGAAAACGCTTTGAGTTGGCGGATGATCGGGTTTGTTGTTACAGCCTCATGGGCGAAATGTTGACGAGGGTTTGCCGTCTTCGCTTCCAAACTGTGTACTTTTGTCGATAAAAGGGCCGATTTTTCGGGCGATCTTTCCATGTCACTATTTCAGACAGCGAAAACAGTGGTTCTATCGGGCGGCAAAATTCTCGTAAGCATAGTTTCGAACACGGTTAAGCGACTCGACGTCCTAAAGGCGGAAACGTGAAAAGCTAAAATTGCTTTTCAATTCAAGTTGTCTGTGATGTTGAGTTCTGTACAGAAACAATGATCTTGCATGCTAATTGGTTGGCCGCACGCCCCCTGCAAGCCGATTCCACTCATTCACCAATCACGTGCGGGCAAAGTTGACAATTTCCTTGATACCTAACACTGCTTATTGTGAACAATGCTAGGCGTTTTGGCAATACAATGTATATGTGTCATGTAGCGCTGTTGCAAGAAAAATGCTGGTGGAAGTTTCCCAGAATAACATCACAACCTATCGTTGTCGAGCTACAAAAAAAATAGTATAGTAATGATTATGATAGCATCCGTAGCGTAGACATATCGACCTTCTTGTGGAAAGTAGAGGTGTGTTACGTCAACTAAGTCGTCGTTCAATTTAATTCCATTCGTGCGCATTGTGGATCAAATCAAAGTTGACATTTGCTTGCTTCGTTCGTTCGTTCGCCTAACCGCGTTTTAAATTCCGTTCGCGTCTGATTGTCTCCTAGGATTTAATTTTTTTTTTTCATCTTTGTAATCCTCGAGTGACAATTTGTTTCCTGACTTTATTTTTAAACTGTTCATCACATCGATCGAAACAGCTGTACTTTGTTTACGACATCGTTCACAATAAGATTATATAAGTTATATATTGAACGCACAAAGTGTTTTTCAATTCTGCCGAATCATTTATTTTATCAATATCAATGAAAGACCGACAGTTGCCCCAGGGGAAGGTTTAGTGTTTCTTTTGTCGATCCAGATCAGTTGAGGGCCAACCAAAATTACAAATCGATTTATATAGACCAAGCATGAAATCATGGCTTCGCAAATTTAGTGCGCTGTTTTAGTCTGAGTTTATTTGCGTGCGTCTCAAGTATCGGAAACATACAGGATGCAAATCACTTGTGGCTCTTTAACTTGCCTTCACATCAGTATTTCAGTACATATCACTGATTTTTAAGGACTTTCTAAGGTGTGAGAATTTAAAATACAGATTACATCAAACTTTATTTTAGTGGCATTGCGTCACGCAACGTAACGTGACGTGACGTGATCATCAATTTGCATTTTTTGCGGTTTTTGCTCATTGCGGTTTTCATTCATAAACGTTCTCTTTGTGCTTAGACTGATAAATATTTAAAACTTTCACTCAACAGATGCTAAGTTTTATCATACGTCAGGCTGGTTTCATACTTATTCCGTACATACTCTAGTCTTTCAGCACACAAAGTCAAATTACGTCAATGGTTTGCGTTCTTTAGTGTAATTAAAATAGTGTTGATTCATCTCCTTTGTGGAAGTCTCTGAGCAAATGTTACCTTCTTAAACGAATTGGTGGTCTTTTCTCAATAATAACCTATAATTTTACGCAACGTGTCGTTTAATTTAGCGTCTTATACACAAAGCGATGATTGAGAAGAAGTTCACACTAATTCCTGATTGACCCGGATTGCAATGGTTGTTTGTTGTGGGCATCGTGATTATGTTTCACTTTCTAAATTAAGAGAACGATTTTGTAGTTGAACGCGAGAAAAACGCGCGAGACGCGAAACAAACGCGCAGATATTAAAGGCGCAATGAAAACGGAAGTTAAATGCGAAACGCATCGAACTCGATGACTGAAGAACTGACGAACGTTATCAACGGATTCAGGAAAGGCTCAAGGCGAATATTTCCTCTAATTTTCGTTGCAAAACTGTCACGACAGGGCGAGCTTTGTTGGCCGAAGATCACTTAAAGAGCAGTGAAATTTATCGCTAAAAAGAATGAAACAGATTCGTTTTAACTTTGCATAACAAATAGTGCAAATTCCTTCTTCCTTTTACAGTCACAAAACCACGATCGTGGTTCAACCTCTGACGCTTATCGAACGGATGTAATCCTACGTGATGCAACTGTCTTAGAGTTATGTGTCGGAACAAAGAGTTTCACATGAAAAGTCAAAGCATTAAATCCTCGTAATCTCTTTAAGAATGTATGTCATACTTCATGCATCAGGTGAGTTTTGCATCATGCAAAAAAAAAAAAAACTCACTTAAAGGTCACGTCCTGATATAGTGATTACTTAAGCCGAGCTCATTTTCCCTGCAGGAAGTAGAGTATCTTTGGTATTAAATCGTGACTTGTTGCGATGCAAAGTTTTATGAGATAATTTCTTAAAAGCGTTACGTCAAATCAGTTTTACAAAGACGAACATGTTAAGCTATCTGCTTAACGCTCTCTGGGTTTTCCCTCTATTTATTGGTGTTGCCTTCGATGGAGTTTTTATTTTTAGTATCTAACCAACCTCTTGTTGTTACCATAGTAATAGATAATTGCACATAATGAGATCGTTCATCACTTATGATGGTAACTATGTCTTCACGGAACTGAGCCTGGTCGTATAACTATAACTGCAGGCTTTGAGTATGAGAAAATATTTTCTGAAACGTACTCCTCTAGGATTTGAGTAGAAAACTTTGGTAGCATCGACGCAATCTTTCCTCCTCAAACTGAAATGTTATGATTTTAACGCGATTCTTATCGTATTATTAAGGAATTTTAATATCCTTTATTTTAAGGCGATGTCTCACGACGTGTCAAGGCCGTAGCCAGACTTCAGAACAAGACGAGGCAAGTTTTGGGTCTGGCATGCCTCCCCCAGAAAATTTTGAAATCTAGAGGCTCAGAAATGCTCTTTCAAGCACTTTCCGTGGCACTTTTCTTTAGAAAAGTCAGCCTTGGGCAAGTGTGGAAGTTCACTTTTTTATTGCCGAGCGATACTGGTGCAAAAGAAACAAAAAAAAATAGGAAAAGCCAAAATCAAGACGAAGCAATTGCCTCGTCTTGCCTCATGCTAGCTACGGCCCTGCGTGTTTGGAACGTTTTCTCGCTTTCAGCCTACAGCTGCCACTTACAGTACGATAAAGTTTTCTCAGTAAGCCTTGGAAGTTCTTGCCCTTGTAAAACGAATGTATTCTATCCCTGTATTGAAGGCAGCGTTAGGAAGGAAGGAAGGAAGGAAGTTCAAAGTGGCAGTTATCCAATTTCCCATTTTTCATTTCTGGATCAGCTTTGTACAAGTAAAATAAAATACAGAAATAAAAAAGTTTTTTCTAAGAGTTAAAATTGTTTGCATCGTAAGCTGCTCGATAGTATTATTTTTACAGGAAATGTCAGCCCCGAGAGAGTAAGTAAGTAAGTGAGTAAGTAATTTATTTATCCACATTTCACAATTGAGTATAACTCGTTTTAACGTGAACGTGCCAGGTTAAAATAATATATATAACAAGCTAGACAATGATGATAATAATAGTAACAAAAAGGAACTATAAAATCATATGGGAATCATGATGCATATATAGGAAATAAATAGGAATCAATAAAACTAAGAGGGAACAAGCTAGGGATAAAATAAGCTATGTAAAGAAGTTGCATTCACACTCCACACTGGTAGTCAAGTTGACCTCGTCCAGCGTTGATTTAAAAATATTAAGAGAAGGAGCTCTTCTTGCATAGTCAGGTAGATTATTCCATAATCTTGTAGTGACGTATCGATATGCATTTATGACCTATGCATGAATCTGCTTGAATAAGTAGGCTGATCAAGCTTGCAGAAGCCTCTGAGAACAGGGATTCAGTATTGGAATGCCATTCTCAGAGAATAATGACCGTGGTTTTGGTCACTCAACATACAAAAGTAGAATTCTTTTGGGAATCCCTTGAGTTAGAGAGTAAAGAAAAGATTTCCTCCTGTTTTTTTTCACTCACCTGCACCTCCTGTGTTCCTTCCATGACGTACATCCTTCCCGCCAGGCCTTTCGAGTAGAGGCTTGCTTGGTAGCCGTTCAGCCTGTCTAAAACCATAATGGCGTCGCAAAAGCGCCAATTTTGTTGTCAACAACGACAACAAATTTGTTTAATGACGGGAAGAAGGTAGTGGTCAATTTGATTAGCTCATTTTGGAAACAAAGTGGCGATGCTGGTGGACGATGAAGAGCCTTTTTTAAGCTTTTGGTAGACAGGAATATTTACAGTAATTTATTGAGTTAACTCTGGAGAAGATATGTCTTTAAAAAGTAAGAAATTTGAAAGAGGAGGGATAGCTTCTGGATCTGCTGAAAACTTGTCAGCGAAAAGACCTTGCTCAGCAAAGAGTAACAGGCCGAGTTCCGCAGATCCAAGTAAATATTCAGCAAGATCAAATGCAAGTATGGTAAGTGTTGTTCGTTAACGTTTTTGCAAGATCAAATAATTGTCATTCGAGTAGTTGCTGGGTAGCGTCAGAAAATATTGTCATTGGGCGTTTGATATTGAACTTATATTAAAGTAGATAAGTGGAGGCACTAGCAGCTTAAAAACCTGAGGGTGGCCCGCTTGGCAGCTTTTGTCATGACCCAGCTGCCATGCCGTTTTTTAATGTGATATATATTTGGTACTGTACATTTTTCTTGCAGCTACCCCAACCTTGAGGTTGGTTTAACTTCTAAATACCTGAGACCTCTTTTGAAATATGAATATAAGAAGAGTAGCTCCCATGGTTACCTAGTATTTTAAATTAGCAGAATTCTAGATGGAATCGCAAGCAAAATATTAGACTTCATCACACTTTCACACAATATTTAAGTGCTTCTGTGTTGAAAAAAAATCCGGGATTGCTTTAGTTTTGCTATTCTTCATTACGTGATAAGTCCAGAAAACTAGCGCCACTTTCTGAACTAATCAGATTCAAAAGCAAAAAGCAATCGCAACTTTCCCACTCACATTTCCCTGCACTTAAGACAGTTGGCATTTTTTAGTTCTCTTTGGCCCCTCAACATATTTTCCTTGCTGTGATTAACTTTTAATTTCTTTGGTTTTGGTTGTATAACACTCAATTAAAAGGTGTCCTAATGTACAACAAATACACTTTGATTTCTCTGCTATTATCTTCAGCACATTGTAAACAGTGATTGCAATATCCTTTAGTTGATGATGATTTGATGACTAGAAAATTGTTCACATGTATTTAACATTATTTATAAATGCAGCATCATTAGAACAACTTTATTCTACTTTAAAAACAGGATTCTGATCTGAGTGACTTTCTATCGGTAACTGGAACAAGCAACGTTCTCAAGAAATCTGGTCATCATAAAAGAAGTAAGTTATATTTTATGTCTGTCTGATTAAAACCATTTTCTATATGATACTTATGATTTGTGCAACAAGTCACTCAATACTCTGAAAATGCTCTGCATGCTTTACGTGCACATTACTTCAAATAATACATATATTTATTGACTAGATCATTGAATTGAAATAAGAGTTCAAAAGGGATGTTGACCAAGAGACTTAAAACTTGACTGTTATAGCCATTGCCATTAATCCAAGTGGTACCCCAATGACTACTCTCTTTTGCCATATTTTTTTGGTTCAGTGAACTTCTTTTATTTAAATTGTGGTAGAATATTGAGCAAGTTGTGATCTAATGATGTATTGTCAATTCAAATTGTCCTATTTAATAAACTACTCAGGGCAGCATTGGAGAACAATGATCTTCTATCATTTTCTTGCAAACAGAGCAGAGCACAGATGGCAGTATTTCTCAAAGCAGCCCTTGCTCTTGATTAATTAGAAGTTGATATGTGCAGTAATTGAAATTATGCTTTGTAATTAATATATTAAGGTGGCAGTGCAGGCATTGTGAGGTCACAACACAATGAGGTTCATGTGTCTGGTAGCGATAGTGACAGTGCAAGAACTAGCAGTAGCTCTGGAGCAAGAAGGAAGAATGTGAATAAAAAACCCATTCCGCCAGCGAGGTAACATTTTTAAGACACGACAAGTCAGTTACAAACAAAAATGGCAGTACTTGTTGTTTGGAAAATATTTGTAATCAGTTTATGCTCTTTTTTGAAACAAACATCACTGTCGGTTGTGTTTTAAAGTCATTCCAAATTTTAATAATCTTAAACTGCTAAATTGATTGATGCCTTAGATTGCATTGAAAACTTACAACCTTGTGTGATAGTGCATTTGGAGTGAAATTTGTATATATATGTGGAAATAAAATTTTATTTTGTTTCTGCTCAGGTTTTCTGAGGACCATATCCCACACATCATGTCTCAAGCTAAAGCCCGCACTAAACCTAAACTGGCCACAACATTCCAGGTAATTTCTCTCACACATACATGTGCTTCAGGTAAACACTCTTGAAAAAGAAGGTACCAGTAAATGAAAAAAAGGAGATGTTTTTAATTCAGCTTCATTTGAAATAACAATTCAGACAAAATGCTCGTGGCCAAACAAGAAAAAAAAAATTCCTGTTGGCAAAAAATATTATTGGTGTTTTGTTGATGGGAAAAGTAGTCAAGTGTTAACCATTTGCTCCACTGAGAGTTGCCAGCATCTAATTTCTCTTTACCCCAGAAGTGATCAACATGAAACTTATCCCTGTAATATCCATACATTGTCCAGCAAACAGGTAATGAGAGTATTCAGAATTATCAGTTAAAAGTCGTTATCCTGATCTAACACCAACTCTCGTAACAAGGTAACAATCAGGGCGGGGTTGTTCAAAGGTCGGTTAAGAAAACCCAGGGTTAGTGTAAAATTTTCAGATCTGAAAGCTTTAAAAGAAAATTCACTTTAATTCCATATTTCTACAATTTAATGATTGAATGCTCTTAAAATAATTGGGAAAATTATCCCAAAATGGCCTTTGAACAGAGAAATATAGAAACTGGGATTAACATTTAACCCTGGGTTAGCGCTAATCGGCCTTCGAACACCTGGGCCCTGATCTTGGGAGTTCAAGGGTTCCAATATCACCCCTGGATCTAACATCAAGGCCTTGAGAATACGGGAAATGATCACTACCTAAAAAAAAAAAACCTGATTGTTGATCAAATTCTCCTTGTCAGCACCTTAGGCAATCTATGGAGAACAGTATGGAGAATATGCATACTGATGTTAGGGTGTAAAGTTTTAGTGATGCTGATATCTGAGGTCACTGATTTGAACATGTTATTTTTATTAAGCGCCACAGCAATGCTGCTACAGCCAGCCCCAATGCTCTACCAGACAGACCTTTAGCAACAACACACCAAAGAGTTCAGCCTGATGAGGTTGATGAATGGTGGCTGTCAGCTTCTGATCCTGCACCAGTTCCCCCACTGTTCCTGCAATCTCCTACAGAATTGGACAAGAAGCATAACTGGTGGCCTGGTGCTAGCAAGACCAGCAATCATGTTGATGAAGATTTTTTTCAAATTGATATCAACAATTTACGACCTGGTAATAGCGGTCTCGATCAGAATAACCTTGAGTTAAATATTTTTGAAGGTGAAGCAAGAATCAAACTTGACAAGTCAACCGCAAGAAGAGAAGATGTACCAAAATTGTTTCTTGATGATCTTGTGGAGGATGATGGTGACAGAAAACGGCAGAAAGCTGCTGTAAACATTCAACGTTGGTTCCGTGGATGGAAATCTCGGAAGCAACTTGGTGGACAGAATGCTGTAAAGCAGCTCTTAAGCCAGAAGAAAATGGAGAAGGAGAAGCAGATGGTCAGTGACTATGCACTTGTACAGACAGAGGTAAATGTGTCATGATATTACAATAAAAGAAAAGGTATTACCTAATTTGGTGATCAGCAACCTTACAAATTTCTAAGCTCTCCTTTGCATCCCGTAACCAACTTAAGGATCAGAGGGAAGAGGAAAAGAGGAAACGACGAGAAGAGAAAGCTAGATTGGCAAGACAGGCTGCCATAGAAGAACTACAAAAGAAGAGAGAGGAGAAACGACACGAGAATCAAAGGAAGGCAGAGGAAGAACTGGTATTGACAATGATTGTTTTGTACAAATTCATGGCAACTGAGTACAACTTTCAGAATGAAGAAGTGTGAATATTAGCCATGCTGGAAGATCAGCTGTTAACAAGAACAGCACACATGTCTCTTTCTGTCATTACATATGCCTGCTGTCTTAAGTGCAAAGCTGGAGCAAACCAAGTGAAACCTAATAATCAAATTTAGTAATTGTAAAGCCTACTTTGGGGGTGAAATATTCTTATTTGTAAAGTTCTGAGGAGAATAAGTCTTTCGTACTCATTGATTACATGTAACTTTGATCTAATTTGTTTTTTGACAGGTTTTTCTCCAAGCTAGTGGAAAAGTTGTCAAAAAGAAGTTAGCAATTCCTGGCTCAGCAATGAAATCAAAACCAAAAGGGAAGAAGAGCACAGGAGTAGGTGCATCCAACAACGCTGTAAAAAATAACGAGCAAGTTAATCCCAGTGAAATAACATCCAGACCTGGGACAGCCAGCAGTGTTGGAAGGAAAGTTGATGAGTTATTCCAGGTGTGTCAGAACTTGACCCTTTGACTCTCAAGAGTGACAAGCATCTAATTTTTGCTTACAATCTCACCCCTGAACCAAACATTTAGGTCACAAGAATAACAAAATTGATTACTGACTAAAGCAGCTCTTGATTGTTAGGCAAATGAGCAAAGAATATGACACAGTCGGATGATGTTCAAACCTTGCCATGGTTTGAGATGCCAGGGTTGAACTGTATTGTACATTCATATTGTGTTTTCATTATTGACTGCATTAGTTTGTATTTCCGTATTCTTTTTACTGCAGGAATCTCGAGAATCTCAAGTTAGTGCAGCCGCTGCCACTTCAGATGAGCAAGCAACGGGAGCGCTATTCTCTGATCGCACAGATGACACAGATAAGACATTAAAAAGGTATGTTGTAAGTATTTGGTTGATTAATTGTCTCAAGCATGCAAAAAATCTTGTATTTGCAACCTTGTCACTTCCAAGATCAAAAAGAAAATTTTCCCAGCTGATGAACATGTATTTCACTGTTTTTCAAGGCAATACTAATACATTTTGTTTTGTTTTTTTAAGCTCTCAGGTTGGTGGTGAAAGCAAAACCACCTTTGATGACCTCTTGGAGTCCCTCAAGCAGTTGGAGGAGGAACCAGCTGATCTGCTCCAAGTGGGGCACAGCAGTGGACCTAAGTTTGGTGGCTGGGGTGAGAACTTTTCAAAATGTTTTATAATAATAATACTAATAATAATATAATTAACAATTATTCCACGAGCGCGCGTTGGATATAAGATGATAGATAGCCAACGAGGCGCGTAGCACCGAGTTGACTATAATCATCTCATATCCAACAAGCGCGAGTGGAATAATTGTTTTATTAAAAACGTCGTACGCTTGCCATATTTGTAGATTATGGTATATTGGCTGATATACCATAATGGCTAAGCCAATAAAAAGTCTTGAATTGCATTATCCAATGATCCAGTTTTTAATAATAATAATTATTTTTATTATGATCATTTCATGGGATTTATCACTGCAGTCAATCTATTGCATTCTAGAAATAATTGTAGTTTTCTCCATAGTTTTCTTGTCCAAACATCACAGTTAAGGTCTCAATTTTGGAACAGCTTCAAGGGTATTTTTTCACATTCTTAACTTTAAGATGTTTTGAAATTATGATTTTTAGGGCAAAACTTAGAGGGTGATGAAGACAAGGTATGCTTACTTCTCAAGTTTTTTTTTGCAAGGCTAGTGAAATAAAGGAAAAGTTTAAATCAGGTCAAACAGTGGTATTTATCCATGAAGGCTGTTTTACAAACACTTTTGAAAAATCCTTGACAATTCCACCAACTATCTTGTTTTTTTTTTTAATAGAATTCTGTAAGAAGAAGAGATTTACCTCTTATTTTATGTAACTCAAATAATGGAGAATAATTTGGAAACATCAACAAAGTTGAAATGGTAAATTGGCCACCATAACGATTACAAAAGCTGATGTTTCGAGCGTTAGCCCTTTGTTGGAGCTAATAGAGGAATTGTGGGTTGTGTGTGCTTTTAAAGGCAGAAAATGGAGCTACGTTATTGGTGTTAACATTAATGGAGAAAAACACATAAATTTTAAAATAGTTGGATCATGTTTCTCCATTTTATTTTTCTCTTGCATTTTAGGCTTACCTTTCTCATGCTTCACTGGGTCAGTTAAACAAAGATAAGCTGGAAAGGTAACTGCTGGTAGAGATGAAACAGAATTGTAGACTCTTATTCTATTTGTTGAGCCTGTTTTATCATTTCCCATAGAATTTACATTATAGCAATTGATTGTGATGGCCTATTTTCAGAGAAATTCCCAGAAAATTGTAAAATTTTAGTGTTTTTTCTTTTCTTTTCCAAATTGCAGTCAAGGACAGGCAGGAAGTGCATTATCTGCTGAAAAACTACGGTACAGCTTTATACATTCATGCACCCTTCATTGACTCATTGGAAAATCCTTTTTGATGAAATTATTAGTAGCTTCAGACTTTCATAACCTTTCATAATATTAGTAAATTATTAAAAACTAGATCATTGGATAATGCAATTTAAGACTTTTTATTGGCTTAGCCATTATGGTATATGAGCCAATATACCATAATCTACAAATATGGGAAGCGCACATGTCAGCTTAAAATTAAAAGGGAGCTTAAAATTTAATGAAATTTAATAATTTAATATAGCGTTTTTAATAAAACAATTATTCCATTTGCGCTGGTTGGATATGAGATGATTATAGCCAACTTGGCGCTATGTGCCTCGTTGGCTATCTATCATCTCATATCCAACGCGCGCTCGTGGAATAATTGCTAATTAGCCTGATCAAGGACTTGAGATTCAACAAGAAGTGTGACATGTCTGTCAACATGCATCCTCCAGTATAAATTCAATTGTGGACTTGAAAACAACCTGTTGGTCTGGGTCAATTACAAACCTTACCACTGAATTACTATTATTTTATTTAGAAATGTGACATGCTTCTGTATAGCACTGACAGTGAAGTTTTGGCAGATTGGTAGAAAGTACTCGATATGCAAAAAAATGAACAAAAAATATATATATAGTGAACAACAAAAAATGCCTCAAAAATTTACCTTCTTTAGCCAAATGAAAAACTTAGTATGGGAATCAAGTGTCTATTCATATTCTTGATGTTCAGAATATCCATCTCCAGTTGATCTCACTTGTAGCTCTGTCATGTTGTCTTGCTTGACAAATGCAAGAGTATGTTGCAAATTAGTTCCTTGCAGAGATTTCGGTAACAAAAATTTGTTACTGCACAACATTAGAAATTGCTAATCCACCCCATCTCCCCCTTAAAAAAAGCTGCAAAGTGTCCATGCTATAACTTGTGTCTCGTTGTATTTTAGGAGTATCTTGACGTTTTTGGATGAGGTAGAAAAAGCAGAAGATGATGCTATCAGTGAAATAAGTCAGGTTAGTAAATTAATTTCCAAGGGGTACCGGTAGCTAGCATTTGAAACCTCACTGAACTCTACTCCTGCTCAAATCTTTCGATTTTAGATGAAGGCACTAACAAACTTAGGTATATATATAGATATAGACTGCGTCAAATTCAAGGTTTTTAGTGTTGTGTAAATGTATTAAGGTAGAGCTTGATCTTTAAATAATTTACTACACTTTATAATCTTTTTACGCACACGATGTTCTCCACGGCACTGATCTCAATTATAAATAAGACCCTCGTTACTAATGAAACTAAAAATTCATCGCGCAAAAATTAATGTGTTTCCTTGTTTCGAGTGTCTCGAAACTTTTTTCAAGCGTCTTAAAACTCAAACTCGAACGTCTCGAAACTCGCATCGAACGTCGCGAAACTCGCCTCGATCCTCGAGTTTTGAGGACTGTCGACTTGATTTTGAGAGATACCTTATGAGGCATAAGTCACCAACAAGTTCTCTGTAGCGCAATGGTAGAGCGTCAGACCTTGATCTGTCCAAATCTCGATGGGGAACTTTGATTTTTTTTCTCTGAACCTTCAGCTTGTTACAAATAAACAACATTTCTATTTAGTTTTGTTGGTACTGTACAATATTTTTCAGGCACGAGACGGAGCCATTTCTCGTGGACTACCATCATCAAGTACTTCAGCCTCTGTGGCAGCTGACAGGGAGTGAGTACTCACAGGAATGTGGCCAGTGTAAACTGGTGCCTCTCATGAAGACTTTTAGTAACCCTTTACGCCTATATTCCATACTGTTCTCTACACGTTTCCTTAGGTTATGACAAGGAGAATTCTTTGGTAAGACAATCAGGGAAATGTGACAAAATACGGTGGAGGAGGGGCCAGGGGTTTAAAAAAAAAAAAAAAGCCGGTTACGGGTGGTCTATAGCCTGCGTTGCAGCCGGACGTGTCACACAATCCCCGGTATAGTCTATATCGGCGGTTTAGACTGTCTGCGACGCAGGCTAGTGGTCTACCGTTACCTATAAAAACCTGTTACTGCTGTCTGTTGAGCTTGCGAGCAGGCTCTCGTGTTTGGGTTTCGCCTTACAGCCTCTTTTCCGGAAACGGCCGCATATTACACAATCGGCAGTAGCTCATAGAAGAAGGCTATTGAAACCCATAGGAGATGGTACTGTAGATGAATAAAGGGGGGCTAGTTTCTAAAGAAACTGTAGTGCTGCGTCGGTTTCGATGGGAGTAAGAAGGTAATTTGGGTTTTATCAACGGAGTTAATAATATAAATGGCCACCACTCCTAGTCATTCTATACCAGAAGTTGGAGAAGTTGCGGCAACGCGACGTAGTCGAATTACAAGATCACCTTTGTTATATATTGTGGTCTGATAATCTGGGTGTAATATGTACGTAGTCAACTTACGTTTTGTTTCCTGTCTGGTCACATGCTTGACATTCTAAACGCTCTTTCTTCGTTGCAGGAAGGAAGAGGCCGCGTTAGAGTCAGCCGCAGCAGCTGCCTCGGATGTTACAACAGCCATGATGGCTGTGAAAATAGAACTGGAGGAGAAGAAGAGGACCAATGATCTGCTTCAAAGAGCTTTGGTACGATATGATCTGAGAGTGGATGGGAAATGATTAGAGAGAGAATGGAAAATGATGAAGGAGGGGATGGAAAATGATCAGGGAGGGGATGGAAAATTATCTGGAGGGGGATGGGAAATGATCTAGGAGAGGATGGGAAATGAAATGGGATAGAATGGAAAAGGATTTGGGAGGGGATGGGAAATGACCTGGAAGTAGTTGAGAAATAGTCTGGAAGGGGTAGGAAGTTATCTGGGAGGGGTGGGGAAATAATCTTTTGTCATTTAAAGATGCGAATTTTGCTTCTCACGCTATGCATAATGGTTTTTTTTGTTCAGTCGAAAAGAAAACTCACACACCCTCCTTTTGAATCTGCCATTGTCATAATTACACTGTTGATTATGTTTTGTCTCTCACATTAGAACCAACAGCGTGAATTCACTCTGAGGCAAGCGAAGGAGATGGAAAAAGACGCAAAACAACGGCTGGCCATCCAGCGACAGGAGTATGAAGCAGCCATTCAGAGACATTTGTCCTTCATCGACCAGCTGATTGACGACAAAAAGGTGTTAGGGGAGAGGTGTGAGGAAGTAGTGAACAAGCTGAAAAGTACGGACAAGAAGTACGGAGATAAAGTCAAACAGATGGAGGAGAAGTGAGTTTCTTTTGACTCCGTTGGAAATTCGGTCATTTCTAAATTAAGCCCTTTAACTCCCGAGATCTGGTTGTTAATACTCCCCTCCAGCTACTACTGACATATTTCCTTGCAAAATAGCAAGGGCGTAGCCAGGGGGGTCCTGGGGGGCCCGTGACCCCCCTCCCTTTGATAGGTCTTCTTTAGAGCAAACAACCTACAATATTCAGGTGGCGAAAACGCCATGACAATCTCTTAGCCGTAAAAGCCATTGATATGGGCCTTCATGCCGCGATAATACGGCTGAGCCCGCAGATACACGGGGGAGAGCATCGGTGTAAATGGTGAGTATCCTCTGTGACTCCCCCTTTGAAAAATCCTGGCTACGCCCCTGATTAGTGACTAAATTTGGTGTTAAATCAAGATAACAACTACTTCGTGACAATTTTGAGTATTCAGTAAATGTTCTTCGTGAACTTTCTTGGTCCTGAAATGTCCAATGATTATAGAGATTCTAAAAAAAATGGTTGCAAAAGTTTTTATAGCCTCGCTTTCGTTGATGGTACCACAAACCAGTCGCAATTTGAGAAATGATATATGATGGGATTTTTTTTCCTTTTTAGTCATCAAATTGAACTAAAGAAACAAAAGGAAGTGATACTGGCAGCGGAAAAATTACGACGAGAAAAATGGATAAATGAGAAAACTCAACAAATCAAGGTAGCGAATCCAAAGTAACGGTTATAACGCAAACATTGTCTTTTCGCCTCCAGTAGTTTCAAAAATGCTTGATACACCCTATGCCACATGGGAAACGCGGTAACCGCTTATTTGGCGCCCTTGAGTCAGCAGCGAGAGGTCTGGGTTGAGTTCTCGGAAATACGCTCGACTCGCTCCACCTGTCGTCAACATGGAGGTCAATGGGTACAGATACAGACAAAATACTGAGAGCTATCGGCGACTGACTAGCGTCCCTTCCAAGGGAGTATCAATACTCCCGTGCACTTCATACCGAGGCTCGTGTGCAATCTTAACTTACGCCTTGTAAACTCGGTTTGAAATTTACAGGAAGTCACGGTCAAAGGACTGGAACCCGACATACAGAAACTGATTGCTAAGCATAAAGCGGAAGTGAAAAAGATCAAGTCTACTCATCAGGTGTGAATCTCATTAGTATCTTCTGATCATGACGTATTGCAAATCTGGAAATCTGATTGGTTCCCTCTGATAAACGTTAATCGTTGGCGCTTCACTGTCTATCAAAAGCTCACCTTTTCTTGCTATGAAATAAATGTAGAAGAATGTTTTCACATATCCCTCCCCTCCCCTCCCCTCCCCTCCCCTACTTCCTTGTTACCTTTAGTGTCAACACGGATTAAAGAACGAAGCTCTGTAACAGTGAATTATTATCCAACTACACCTAGACGAGTACGAATAACGCCATAGACGAGTACAAATATCACGCGGTATTTGTTCTCGTCTATTGTAGTACCGGTTAAACTGGTTTTCTCGCATCGCGCAAGCGAAGAATATTGGATGGTAGTTACGGAAAAAAAAAAAAGTGGCGGACAATTTCAATCATATTTCCGACGACGAAGAGTCAGAATGGCTGGCAAATATAGATCCAAGTTCATTTGATGAATCGAACGAAGAAAAACAGCTTGACGACCAGAAAATTTCTTCATTTAC